ACGGGGAGGCAGAGGCGCCTGAGAGAGGCGCCGGCTCGCAGAGCGGCTGCGATTTCTCGGGGTGGTGGTGGCCCGCCTGGGCCGGCCCGTGGCCTCGCGAATTGCCCGGCCCCTGGAGACTGGTGCAGCTATACTGGCGCTCAGGGTAGCTAGGGCGCGGAGGCGGTGGTGGGTACAGCTCCTGGTGATGATGCTGGAATCCCGATTCCCTGGTCCGGCTGTAATATTCCGGACTGTGTTCAGGGATGTAGCTATTTTGCGAATATTCTTCGCATGGAGGAAATTTCGGATCGATGTAGTTAGAGTCCATCAAATACGAGCTCATGATCATTAATTTCTGGAGTGGAAAATAATTTTTCTCGCTTTGTCGTTTTTCTGCTCCATAAAGCCCTCCTACTAGCTAGCGACCCTGTAAAGTTACTTTCACCATGTGACTCCGCCGGCCAATCACACGGAGCAACCCAGTCCCCGGATAAGGAACCGAATCGCTTTATTCAAAATGTATCCAATTTTTTGTGTGTGTGGTGGTGGTGCTGCTGGGGGAGGTGATGGGGGAATGGCTGGCAGGGGCTACGGTGCCCCCCCAGTACACATCCCGCCAGACTGACCACCCTTCCCTGCAAGAGGAGATAGGAAGCTTCCAGCTTCCCCTCCAAAGCCTGGACACTGGGGGGCTGTCGGAAGTCTGTGCTTCAGCCCCCGCCCAGGGTCTCCTCTTCGGCCTCCAGTGGGCCCTGAGGGCCTTGGCTCCAGAGCTTTTCCAGCGGTGTCCCTTCATGGCGATCGTGTTTCAGTCCGCATAGGTCACCAGGCAGCGCCCCTCTTTCGCAGGAAGAGGAAGTTGAATGAGGACTGGAGTAGAGGTTGGATGGGGAGGGGCCCCGGCTGAGCCGAGGAGGCTAGAGAGCCTGGGGTGCCACCCCCATCCAAGGATCCCAAAGTCCAGCCCCCTGTCCCCTACACACTCACCCAACCCTCTGGCCATGGGGCAGGCGAGGCAGGGTCCCAGCTGGACTGGGCAGGTAGTGGCAGCAGGATGCAAATGATTCTGACGTCATTTCTGCAGGTCTAGGGGTTGATCCCCCGCTGAAGAGAGACAGGAAGTGGTTGGCAAAGCAGAGTTTAGAAGGCTTGTCTTCCCCTCTACCCACTGGCCCTCCCTGCCCCAGCCCTGAAGAGAGGATCTCTAATACTTCTGGCTCAGGTTTCCCTTCTCCATGCTGCCTGGCCTGTTGGTTTCTGAAAAGGACCTCCCTATACTAGTTCCTAAGGAGTTCTGGCAAAGAGGAGAGCTCTGTGCCCTTAGTCAGTGCCTTGTGATGTTGCCTAGTGAAGACCCTGACAGTCCTCCTTTCTCCATCCTCACAGAGGGTGGACCTAGCGGAGAGGAAGGCCTGTCTAGGTACAGCTTGCTCAAGGCCAGATACTGTATCCATGTAACACGTGTGTTTACATGCAAACACTACTCCCAAGGGCCAGCTCCAGGCTGCCTTCCAAAAAGGAGGGGTGAGGTCACCCAGCTGGGGAGGCAGGGGAAGCCTTGGGGGTCTCCAATGTCTTCCTATCCCTCCCTTCCTTGCCAGCCATTCGCAGGCAAACCCTGATGGGGGGGGGGTTAGGGCCATGGGGGGAGGGGGTGGTCCCAGTCCCTAAACCCTGATGGGGGGGGGGGTTAGGGCCATGGGGGGAGGGGCTGATTTCCCAGTCCCCCTCCCTGAGCTAGAGGTGGCCACCACGTCATGCCACCAATTCCAATTAACTGATCTCTCATAACTCAGAGTTGGGGAGGGGAGGTAGCAGAAGGGAAAAGCCCAGGGAGGGAGCCGGGTCCCCTTGTTGTACTTGATAACAATTATAGTTTAAAATCATAGCTTGCCTGGGCTTGGCTATATTTTACTTGATAACAATAAAAGTGACACATAAAGTTAACTGTTTATGTTTTATTTATTAGACTAAATCTGCCAGCGGTGGTAGGAGCGCTTGCCTCGTCGCTACAGCTTTTATAGGGCTGTAAAACGTCATAAATCAGTCTCGCGGAATCGCCCGCACTCTTTGTGTCGGCGGAGGCGCAGGGCTGGCGGCCGATGGCTGCCTGCTCCCTCCTTTCCACGAAAAGTCTTAATGTGATTTTTTTCCTCTGATTTTATTATTATGATCGTCGCCGTGATTAGTCAATCTACCTTTAATTCGCCGCCCTACGTTGCCTCCTCCCAGCCCAGCCTGGTTGACACTTGAATAAGTACCTTTTAAAACGGCATAACAACTATTTGAGGGTTTAATTAGAACATCTGCAATTAAGGGAATGAGGAGAGGAAAAGGGGGAAAAATAAAGCCCTTGTGAGAGGGAGACTGAAGGCAGGAGATTTCCAACCTTCTCTTACTACCTTTGGGATATAGAAGGAGGTCCCTACTTCCAAATTAGTGCTCACCCTGAGGGCTGGAATACGAGGGAACCTGGGCTAGTGGTGATGTCCAAAGAGACCCAAACCTGTGACCCTGGTTGCCTTTCCTGCTCCAGGGCTTAGGTTTCTACTCCAGCCTAGGTGCACTAGGGCCACTGCTCAGTCCCACAGGGCCCTGTCCCCCACCCCTCACACATACCTCCCACTGGGTAAGGGAAATGAGGTGACCTGGAGGTCAACCATCTCTGGAGATCCCCAAATTCCCAAAGTTGGTGGAGAACCCTTGCCCACTTGGACCTGGACACTCTTAGTGTGAGAACGGCTGTTTTGTAGGAAGAGGAACTCACTCGTGGCTGCGAAGGAGGGGAAGGCAGCTGTTTGGTTTTTTGTAATTGTTGATGGTGGGGGTGGGTTAATTACAAGTTGTTGGGAGAGGGCAGGAAGAAACCAGTACGGAATCCTGAACTGCAGGAGTCCGAACTGTGGCTCCAAATTGCCCCACAGGGAGGTTCAAATCTCCATGGAACTTTGGTAAAGGGTACGGATAGTAGAGAGGACAAAACTCTTCCAGCCCCACTCCTAATCTCCCTTCTGGGCCATGCACTTGGCTGTGGCCACCCTACCCTATCTCAGCTGAGAATATTCTCTTCCACATCTGGGAAGGCAAGCTGTCTAGTGGGCTCTCCTCCTAGCCATTACATCTGCCTTTACCAACTCTGCTCCCTACCTAAACCCTCTTTTCTTTAATCCTCACCCTCCTGGATTTATTAGGGTGCCTTTCCAAGACATCACCCGCCATACCATCCCGGATCCTGGACTCCAGGTTTTTAGGCTCCTGCAGGTGGGTTGAGAGTACCCTCTTAGGTCAGTAGGAGAGAGTTGACACAGCAGGTTCAGGTGCCTCCCACTGCAAGTCAAGTCTGGCTTTGACTACTAGTGTTAACAAATATATTTGCATACATGCTACTGATATTTATTAAAATATTAAATGCTCCTTATAGGGCTATAAGTATGTGGAGTTCTTATTCTGGACACCTAGGAGCTTCCCCCAAATGTGTCCACACTCATCTACATCATTCACAAAAAAAAAAAAAAAAAAAAAAAGAGAGAGAAAAAACCCCCAAAATAAAAACCAAAAACTCTGGGCTCTCATAGCTTAATAGAAAGGAAGATGCCTATCACATGGATAAAATACCTCACCACACAAACACATGCAAACATTTTTACCTGGATATTATTATAAGCATGGAAATAAAATCCTTTCAGGTGGGGTGGGGGTACTAAAGCGGCTCTCGAATCCTTGTATCTGGTCCTGTCTTCTTTTGTGTGTTCCCCTCCTGCCTTGCCAAGGACTTCCAACTCTGCTCTGTCCTTCACCTCACTCTCCCCAATTTTATTTTATATTTTCTCTGACCACCTTTTCCAGCATCCGAATGCTCTCCGCATGCCGCCCCCACACCCCATCTTCTTTCTGAATCTCGATCCGGTTTCTCTTTCGGAAACATGTTTCAGTACAAAGCGCTTCCCTTCTGACACCACTGAAGAAAAATATGTGTCCATTGTGTGTGAGGCCTTATTGTGCCCAGATTACCATACTGACCGTTGGATAACCCATATTCCTCCCCTCCCCAGTAACGAGCTGCTGGCTGAGATCTCAGCGGCTCTACAGATTCTGTGCTGCATTAAAATCTCACCTCTCACACTCCCTGGATTTTCTAAGGGAGAAAAATAAATGGGAGAACCAATTCAGGATTTAGAGAGCAAGGAGAAGGATATAAGGATTATTTTATTTCCCATTCTCCCAAGTGCAGGGTTTTTTTCCCCCCATAATATATATATGTGTATATGTTTTGTGTTTTGTTGTTATTGTTGTTTTAGGGATTAAAATTGCAGTATGTCTCCTTTTTTCCCTCAAATAAATTGACTTTTACATGTTACATAATCGGGCAATTCATTTCATTTTGATTTTTTTCTCCCTCAGGCAACTTGAAAACCCCAAACTAAAACAATACTCTCATACCATTTTTTCTTTTGTGTATGTATGAGTGTGAACATAGATATATGTGTATTTTTGTCCCTTTCTAATGCCAGCAGGCAGGGCTAATGTATGCAAAAGAATATGCAAATGCTTAATTGATTTTTTTTCTTAAATCTCTTGTCAGTAAAAGTAATGAATTGGTCTAAAATGATTTTAATAACCCAAACGTGTCACCAGAAAATACTCAACCTTTTTTTTTCCCCTCCTGGAATGGCTTATAGTCTCAAAAGAAGCAATCATGGAATGTTAATTTGCCCCCTTTAAAATATTAAAGATGAATTTTTCTTGTTTGTTCCGAGACCATAGGCAAGGTCCGCTTGTGGATTTCCCCCCCGCCCCCGCCTTGCCTTGCCTTCCTTGGAATTCAATTTTCCTCAAATCTTGTTTAAAGTGGCTTTTTAAAAAGTGGCCGCATTTTAATATTGGTTAGACAGAGTGACCTGCATTTCACCTCGGGTGTTTGACTTGTTCCAATAGGTCACTGCCATGGGGTTATTGATGGGGAAACTCCATTGAAATTTGTCTCTTCGCAAATGGCCTTTAGATCTTCCAGCGAGTTCAATAACTAGTTATAATGTGGAAGGGGAAAAATGAAGGCCCTGGGCTAACGAATTTGATGTTTCATTTTTATGCTGGAGAAATTGTTAGTTAGACATCGGGTTCCCCACCCCCTTCTTTGCTCACCCCAGCCTCACTGCCCCAACACTCCCATCCAATGCTGCTGGATTATTATCCCCTTTAAAACTTGGATTGGGGTGCCCCTTTCTCTCTTTGATCCAAGTTTTACTTCTTCTTATGAATATTATTGTTGTCAAAAATTTTGACATGTGGATGTTGGAGGCTTGCTGTGCTGGAGGTTTGAAACCTGAACTTTCTTTTCAGGAGGAAGACTTTTACTTTTAAAGGAGCCTTAATGTGGCTTTAAAATATCTAGAAATTAGGCTGGCTTTAATTTATAGAGGGCTCTCTGGCTTGGACTGCCAGAATTGAGGAGAGGAAAGGGGACTAGAAACACCTGGGGGGTTGATGAGGGTGCCTCAGGGTACCCTAATCTATTCTTGGCCTGTAAACTGGCAATGACCCATGGAATTAGGCACCCAGGACTAAGGAAAGCAGAGACTGAGAAAGGCTAAAGAGAGAGGGAAAATTCCACAGAGCAGGGAAGGGAATCCTGGGTCCCCTTGAGGTACAGAGTCAGAATACAGGAGGATTGGTTGGGTAACCACCACTTGCCAAACTCTGAACTCTGCTCCTTCGCGAGAACAGTTCTATGGGAAAGCTCAGTGCCCTAGAATTGCCTTTTAGTAAACTGGAGGGAGCAGAGGAAAATGATAGAGGCTAATGGAGATACTAAAAGGTCCCTCTTTTTCTAGCGTTCTCAGGAGTGGGAAAGGAAAGGGCAAAGAAGCGGGAAGGATATTTATTTAATCTCCCCAGCGACAGCCAATTTAGGGAGCCCTTGACTTCTCCAGAGAAGTCTCTGTGAAAAGGGACTGCAGAGCGCAGTCTCTGGCGGCTGACCCAGCCATACCAGATCATTAGCATTATTAACCTCAGTACTAATAAAAAGACCTTCCACTCAGGAAATAGAGGGACATGTGTGCTTTATTTTATCTTCTTCCAGGCGCTGCACCTTCTCCTTCTCT